AAAAATGATTGCTAACGAACTGGGCTTGTATGCCATGATCGCATTACGAACATTAAGTAAGCATCTAGGATACACACAGAAAACTGCTGGATGGGTACCACGAATTTTAAGTGAGACCCAAAAAAAGGCACGAGTGAATTTTGTTCAATTTTTTCTAAACAAATTCGAAAATGGTCAGTCTATCACCTTTAGTAAAGTCGTTACTGATGACGAATTTTTGTTCTATAACTACGATCCAGAGACCTAACAGCAGTCCATGGTATGGAGCCCAACAGGAGCAAGCTAACCTGTAAAATCCAAGCCACAAAATTCAGCAGAAAAGTAATGATGTCAGTTTACTTTACCCGATCAAAAATTCCACTGGAAACGGGTAAGGTGGCAGCGTCAAGATGGTGCTCCGAAAAGTGCTTACCAAAAGTTTTCATATCTTTTTTTGGAAACTGGGAGAAAGAGAATTTGCGGCGCTACTTTTTACATTATGACAACGCGCAATCCCACACTGCTGGAATAAAGAGTAATTTTATTGTCAAATCTTCGATCGAAGAAATACGTCCAGCACCATATTTCCCTGGTAAAGCACCTTGTGATTTCTTGCTTTACAAAAAATTTAAAATGAAAGGTCTTTAATAGCAAAGAGGAGATAATTCAATCGGTTAACTTGATTCGCTTGAAAAGCCAGACTGCTTTCAGAAGTGTTTCTATGGGCTTAAGAAATGCATTGAAATCTATAGCGATTATGTAGAGGAGATAAAAGAGGACAAAAATTACGAAAAAATACAAAAATCAATTTTTTCGAACGTTTGCTAATCGCCTCTCACATGCACGTAGTCCATTCACCTCCACTGGAAATACTGGTAGGCGGGTAGGAAGACTACTCCAAAAGATTGTCACTCAAGTGTCTGTCACATCAGATTCAGATTCGTTACTATTAAATTAAATATGTATGTACTCGTGTGTGCATGCAACAGCATTGAATATATGTATATGCCATGGCATGTCGGGGCATACGATGCCAAAGGCATATTCTGCAAAATTGCCACAACTTTGTAAACACCCAGATATATGTACATATAAACACATGTATATATGTATACGTATGCATCTGCATATGTACTTTTAAAGCATGTTATGTACATATGTTTGTCCTCTAGTAGGCGTTTACCTTTGCCATGACTGACTGTTGCACGAGTGCTTAAAGAAAGCTGACGTGTGCATGTCACAGTTGATTTGTTTACTGATGACTTCGTCGTGATGGTGTAGCGGTGTTGGTGGGTTTGGTGGGTATGAAATCTGTACTATCTCACTTGAGTGCAGAAAAGCAGGGTGTGTGAATGTGTGTGTGTGTGTGAGTGCATTTGTGCCTTTTTTTACGACCGTGTAAAAGTGACACTTGCAAGTTGATACACTTTCTTTCGAGTACTTTACATTAATAGGTAATGTGAGATATGAAAATTTTAATTACCGCCTGAAGGGATTTTCACTATTAGACCACAGTTGCGAAAGAAAGAAATGAAAATATAATAAAAATGAAAAACCCAAACGTCAGCGAGTGCACTTGCTTTACACGAAACTAAAGTGAGGACATTATTTTTAGCGGCTTTTAGTCGAATTCCCTTTATGTGTCGTTTATGTGTCGACAAAACATGGCACTAATTAACTTAAATATGTGTTTCAAATTTAATAAATATCAACAGCATTTAGAATTTTGTTTGAAGTTTAAGGGGGTTAAGCGCTGGAGTCCTGAACGTGTTTAAGGCCAAGTTTCAGCAAAAATTTTATTTATTAAAAAAAAAAATTATAAATCGTAGTTCTTAAAGATAAGTAAGCGTATAAAAATTTTAATTCAAAAAAAAAATATTTTTTTTATTGTTTCCTTTTGTTGGTGAGTGACACGATAACTGCAAAACGAATCATCTGGAAGCAAAAATCAAAATGATTTCATATTCCGTATCACATTGGCTATGGCCGGAACTCTAATAAAATGGAGGACTTTTTAATTTTGTTACCCTTTTTTCCTAATTTTAATTGTTAATGAATTTTTTAAGTAATAATGCATATTTTTGGTTGAAATACCGACCATAGAGAGACATTATAGAGTTAAACGCCGCTTAGTTCACGTTGATAAGTTCAATAGGTTCCAAGTAGGAGTATCAGCCAGTTGAAATTTCGTGGTTTCGCGAAAAAGACTATAAAAATACTCAAGCGGCCGAATTCACTGCTAGACACGCTCAACACTCTCTTACTTCAATGCTTACTTCTTGGTCTTGCGGACTTTCGGGAACAATTCTATACTATTTCTAAGAGTAGTTTCCAGCAATTTTAAGGAAAAATAATTTTGATTTTTTTTTAATTTTTTTTTAAGGAAGCCAGGCCTTAAATTCGAGTCAAATCTAGCTCTGATCTACTCTTTCAATAACACATGTAAGATTCCATGAATCTTTAAGTCCATCACTTTCAGAAAAAACTGCGCCTCTATACGAGATTTCAAATTATTTTGCAACCCACATTAAAAAAATAAACTTTAATTTACGAAAAATTTAATTTTTAATAAAAAAATCGGGCTAACTCATAATGTGAATTTTCCTTTACATATTTCATGCGAAGACTACTATTACTCTTCATCACATCGAACTTCAAATTTGGACCCGAAAATGTTACTTCCAAACTTCTTTTTTCCCCCACAACCGCCAGAGATGGTGAACCCTTAACCTCAGTGAATGATAATGGAAAAGACGTTCCATTACCCGACCCAACCCGAACAATAAAGCTGCTGGAGCTGACGACTTACCGTCAGAGCTATTCAAATATGGTGGTGAGGAGCTGGCAAGACGCATGCATAAGCTTGTTTGCAGAAGATGAGCAGACGAAATCATACCAACTGAAGCATCATAAACATCGCTTATGAAGACAACGAATGGGTTCGACCTTTCAATATGTCTTTAGACCTGGTAAAACTACAATTAATCAGACATTTACAATGCGCCAAATCACCATAAGACGATCGGTACACACCACCGATTTTAAAGCAGCCCTCTACAAAACGAAAAGGAGCTGCCTCTACCAAACTAACAAACGGGTAGACGAAATATCCTATCGGATACCAGATTCGGTTCCTATGTTACTGTTGAAAGTCGTAGATTTGTAGTCGTTGCTAATTTCGTCTATCTAGGGACCAGCATCGACATCAATAATAGTGTCAGCTTTGAAATCTCACGTAGAAATACTCTTGTCAAAGGTGCTTCTTTGAATTAAGTATGCAAGCAGAAAGTAAAGCCTTGTCCCGCCGATCCAAAACCCCGCTCTACAAATCTTTCATCATTCCCTTAATACTATATGGCGAAGAGGCATGAACAATTACAACATCTGATGAGTCGGCTTTGGTAGTTTAGTAGTGAAAGGTTTTGCGTAAGATTCAAGGTTCTCTACACATTGTGAACGTCGAATAATACAATACTACAGCCGATGAAATGATGAGATGTACGAGTTTTACGTCGACATTGGCAATAGTGGCTGAAGAAATGGCGGTTACGCTAGCTAAGTGATGTGGTCTGAATGGAAAAGAACACTAAAGCTTATAAAGTTTTCTATGCAGTATCCCCCGCTGGAAGCAAAGGAAGAGATAGTCGGATAATGGATCGTCCTTTCATCGTTTGCTCCAGTCTTGATACCTCTCGTATGTGGCCTGGTTGTGATCGATCCCACGGCCGCGAGGTAGGCAACTTATTTTCTCTCCACTCCATTTCTGTCACACATCATCGCTCAAGCTCTTTTCTAGCACAGCCGAGAGCCAACAGATCCCTTATATCAAGTTGCGGATGAGTTCTGTTAGAAAGCAGGCGTACTAGCAGCTTTTCGACATGGAGCTGTCCTTGTGTTTATTGACGGAAGTTCTTTGATACTCAGAGGCGCGTGCGTATCTTTGCTTCGACAAGATAGTGATCCGAGTGGATGTTAGGACCTCGGAACGTATGCATATCTAGAACACGGTATACATGCCTGTCGTCTATCACAACGCGATCGATATGGTCGTGAGTTTTTCGATCCGAAGACAGATAGCTGGAATCTAGCACTATAGTAGACAATCATATTTCGGAACCCAACCAAGTCAATCAGCCTCAACACCTCTAGGGCTGTTTCGTCGTCTAGGCTGGATTTTCCGACAGTTGCGCAGAAGATACCTTCTATGCCTACCCCAGCGTTAAAGTCATCAAGTACAATAATTTAAAAGGCATCCTTGGTCACATCGTCCTTCTCTTCCGTCGGGGCCTGGGTACAAATCAAGGTGGTGTTAAAAAGATTCGTTTTGAAGCGGTTTGTGACGGGACGTTCGTTCACCGGAGTGAATGACAGTATTCAGCGACGGAGTCTCTTTCCCACCACGAATCCTTGAGCTCCTTTATATGGCCGCTGTAGTATATTTCCCAAGTACCTGCCTTCTTCCGTCCCTTTTCTTGTCCCGTTCATCGCATCTCTTGGACGGCGGTGATGTCAGCCTTTAATTTTATGAGGCAGCAGCACCTTCCCAATTAAGGGACCGGACATTCCAGTTGCATGTCCTTAAATCGTAATCCTTAAAATATTTGCGAGGGTCGTCACCAAAACAGGGGTCTCCCATCCGATGCCTATATTGATTTTCGTTTTTTTTTGTTTTTCATGTGGTGGGTCCAAACCTGACTCGCCTTCGCATTTTAGCTCGCCTTCAAACGAACTTTAGATGGATATCCAGAGGCTACCAGAAGTCGTGAGCTCTTTGAACCAAACGCAAAAAAATTGTTTCTGACCTTGCGTTGACTTCTACACATGGGCCCATCATCCTCGACATTCGCATGGCAATAATTGCCATCTTAGTTAAGTAAGTCCTTATAGGTCAAAATTATTTATTCTTTAATTATATGTTAGTTATACTACATATACTCATACATACATACATACATACATTCACATTTCAATTGCGCATATTTCTCTTCATACTCTCTTCTAGCAAAATAATTAACACTTACCATCCAACAAACTGATACTGAGTAAGAAGATGCGAGCTCCGAATATGAAGTTCATTTTTTATTCCGCTTTACTCGTAAGCCACACATACATACGTACATCTGTCGATTGCCTGCGCCACGCAAAGATATTCTCTTTGTATTTATTTAAGTTTTCAATTTTATTGAGTTTTTCACTTTCTCTCTACATTATCATTTTGTTCTTCTTTCATTTTCGCCTTTATTATACCATAAATTTGCTTTCAGTTGTTTCCATTATTGTGGAGATTGTGGTCATTCAGTCATATATACTCGTATACATATATACATACGTTAGTATTTGCATATGCACTGAGATAAGTAAACACAACTTTTTATTCTCATTTTCCGGCCAGTGCATTTTCGGTTTCGATTGTCTCCTTAATTGCCGGTTGAAAGCTGAAAGCATAAAGGAAGTCATAGTTTCATGAAAAATCTTTACAAATTAAGAGCATTTTAAGGATATCGATATGAGCTGTAATTTAATAATATCAATATTTATTGTAATTTAAAATTCATTTACCTCCACAAGCTGATCTGAAAATATCGAAAATTCATAATTTTTTTAATATTATTTAATCTGTAGGTGAATTTGCTTCAATTTACATCTTTGCTGCTTTAGTCGGTAATTTTCGGATGAGTTGCCTCAGCCGATGGGTTGGAATAATTTTTGACTTTTATAGGTCCACAATTTGCCTCCTTCAAAGTCAGGCTTAAGCAGTAGCATGCCAAGGTCCTTATGTATGCTCGACTGGAACCTTAGCACTTTCTCAAAATTAATGGCACAGGTTATAACCCACAGTTGCATACCACATATCCAATGGACCACAGCTTCCTGATTTCAGTTTGATCTTCAAAAAGAGGTTGCGAAGGGTAATATTTTAGATTTGTTGAAAAATCCACTTACTTTTTTTTTAAATTTTCTATAATTTTTGGACGTTGGTCGGATCAGAATTCGAATTCATAGCCTTCCGATTGGCAGTATACACTGCTAACCACTCGGCTATTACCACCGCGCGTTTTAACGGCTGAAGCGATTCTCGGCTGAGCTCCTCCTTCAATATGTAGTTTTGCGTCTTGATGTTTTTTCCAACAAATGGCGGGACCTACACATTTTATACTAAGCCGCCTCCGAACGACTGATGGTTTTTAAAGAGAACCTTTTTCAGTACATGTCAGAAATACACTCGTGAGATTTTGACATTCCCCGCCGAGGGGCGACCGCAATTAGAAAATTGAGTATTAACTTTAACTGCAACTCGTTTACTCTATTGGAAAATGTGCATCGTCAGAAACGTTGCTTATTGTGCACCAAAGACATTATTGCTGCAGTTAAGCAGAGTACCGTAAAAGACCCGAATGAGTTCAGCCGCCTTCACGCGCTATAAAGTGAATATTATCTAGAATGATCTTGGTTTGCGGACCTACTAGTAAGAGAAATAAAGCCGAATGACCATCAAGCGAGTAGCATGTTCGATGAAAGATCTGAAAACAAGATGGCCACCGAGCCCGATTTACACAAAAAACAAACAAACCTCATTCAGTGATGAAGTTTACTTTTGGTTTACTAATTATCTCGTGGGGCCTGTGGTGTGGCTTCCATGTACCATCGATTCAACCTCATTGCACTATTTTTGAAGAGGTTATATGAAGTCGCTTTTCTACCCAATCGACACGAGAGGCGACATTCTCATAAAGTACGGAATCCGCCGATTCATGATTGAGAAGCGTTTGTTAAGCGTCGCGATTTAAAACTGTTCAGCTACAGAAAAAATAATTATTCAAGAGCTGAAATTAGTAGTAATGGAATTTTAAAATTTAATTAGCGGGAGAAGCAAGAATAGTTTTTTTGATACAAAAAGTGAGTCTGATTTGATAAAGGCCTAAACTGCCTAGATATGCGAGTTGGAAAATTAAAGTTTACCTCAGATAAGAGCCATGCACCACAAATAGATCCTTTAAGAAGTTTCACTACGAACAGGGCACCTAAAATTTCTCTACGAATAGCGAGACTAAGTAGATTTAGAAACTTTTAAATGGTTGGTATAAAGGGAAAGATTCATCGTAGAGCTCCATCTGAAATGTCTTAATGCAAAAAGTAAAAATTAGTTTTGAACAGACTCCAACTTATCGGAGTGAACCTGTCAATTGGGGTTCCATATAAGTTTATAATAAAATAATAAAAGAACTAAATTTTTGGCCTTAACAATAATACTTGAAGGGTGTCTTTGGCGTATCAGATGGGCATTTGATATGAACGGATTTTCTGCAATGTGGATCTGGAACCAATCTTCCTATAAGTCGACCTGGAAACGATTGGATGGGCATTTGAAATATATGTAAACAGTTTTTCGCCAAGATTTAGTAGAAGGAAAAATCATATCTATGTTTCGAATTGCTAGATATCTGGGACATACATTAAGACCAGAAAGTTTCAGGAAATTGTTTTTTTTCTTATTCGCGGTTTTAGTTATTAGGAATTCGCTCCAGCAGAACAGACGGTCAATAAAGAGTATTGTTTGAGCGTTTTGAGTCGTTTGGGCGAAAACATCCGGCCGGAACTGTGGATCAACAATATCCAGAAACTTTCACGACGATAAAGTACAATCGCACCGAGCTGCAGTTGTTAATGATTTGAAGACCAAAAACTCGTTCAAAGCTATCGATCAACCATCGTGTGCACCGAATTTGATTCCATGACTTTTTTTTTTTTTTTTTTGTTTCAAAAACTCAAGTTGCCACTCCGTGGGAGCCGCTCTGACTCGCTCGACGCCGTAACAGAAAATTTGCATAGGAAAATGGGGTCGACTGATTTCAGAGGCTGCTGCAAATAAACTGGTCGACAGATCACGCTCATTTTTGGCATAGTAATTAAGGACAGGGCTACCGACTTAACAAAAAAAATTACTGAAAAATGCTCAGCGCGAGCAGTTTAAATGACAATTTCTGGAAACTTCCTGGTCCTAATGTAGAGGACTTTTTGCTTAAACTAGTATGTGGAGTCCCCTTTTTGCTTTCTCATTAGGTTTAACATTTCAAGTTATATAAATAAATAATAAAAATATTATTAGTAGAATCTCAAAGTTCTTTACCGACGAAGTCGCAGGCAAACTCCACTTGATTAATATAATTATGCAAATAATAAATCTCTGTCAGCAAATTTTTTGCCGTCATGGGAAATTTTTTGGCTCTAAACTCGCACTCGCACATGTAAATAATGTAAGCACTATATACATACATATATACTCGTACTCAAAAGTGCAAAGTGAATTGACACTGCCAGCTCTGGAATGCATAAAACATTATTGCATAAATAGGAGAATTAAATTTAAAACTAAGAGTTCATAAAAAATGAGTAAAGCAAATGAGCATAAGAAGTAGCAAATTTGGTTGAAGCGAAAAATTTGTACTCAGGCAAGTTCCGGCCGATGGTGTTGAGTTGATGATTAACATGGCAGAATGGTAGTCGTAAAATTCCAGGAAATTCCAGTAAGCGGAGCAAAAGCATATGGCGCGCACACCGTTATAAATTATGCATATGTGCATAAATGCATAAGCTACTGGCAGTTACTTATACGCCATGGCATGACATTATTATCAACATAAAAAAGGCATAAATCATATGCGCACATTTTTCTTCATAAACGACGACAACCGGCAACTGACTGACGTCCCATGAAGCCAGACAGACAGCGAAAATTACGCTGCTCTTGGCGCTTAACATAGGCAAATGCAGCACAGAGTTGAGTGAAAGGAAATGAAATGCCGAAAAAGCAGCAACTCAAAACAATAATGGCGCGCTCTTATTTGCCAATTTGATTGTATATACATATATACGAATATGTAACACACAGTGGGTATTTTTCACGAACTCACAGGAGTTTCAAAAAAGAGCATAACTCAAATCTTCACTGTACGAGGGAGCGTTTCTATGTTCGCAGATTGGGGAATATATAAAAAAAAACTTAGTTTTTCCTTTTCAATATACTTACCTCCTAGACGGATACATTTGTCAGTCTCTTTTTTTGATTAATTTATATATACACTGGTAGCAAAAAATTCCCTCTCCCATTTTCTTAAAAAACTGCCTCTTTGACTTCATAATCGTAATGAATTTTTTACACCTTTGCTCTTTTTACACTTTCATAAACTGGTATTAAACACTTGGGTCCAGGTCTGGGCCGTAGGGTGGGTGATTCAAAATATCGAAGTCCATGTTATGCAGAGCTACGTAGACGTGGGTTAATTCTCCTCGCCTTTTCCCGTTTTATTTACATCCCTTTAATATTGAAGCGCAGTATTCTCCTGTTATAGCAACACATATGTTTTATAATTGATCAATAATACTCCATCCGAGTGTCAGCTGACTGTAACACCTTAAATTACTTGGGCAGCTTTTATATGACAATACACGGAGTCTTTTTTTGACACAGGTTCAAAATGATGAACCCAAATTTCGTCTCCAGTAATAATTCGACTTAAAACACCATTCTTCTGTTTATTACAGAGGAGGACGTTTTCGGCAACCATCTTCGAGATCTATATGAATTATATAAAGCGAGATATTCACTCAATTATACTGGAATTGTTAGTCTATTCTGTCTGAAGGTCAATGGATGAAAAAGACAGTCAAGCATCGCAGCACCGTTGCAGCGATTCTTCGGTAGAGCTCTTCCTCCAATTTGTGGTTTTGCGTCTTGATGCTTCTCCAACAAACAATACAGTCTATACTAAGACGCCTCCGAACAACGGTTTTTATGAGAAGCTTTTTCAATTCATGTTCGAAATTGGAGTGATTGACATTTCTAGCCTTAATTAGAAAATTTAACTTAATTTTTTATTTTAAATAAATTCTCTATAAGTTTTGGATGCTGGTCGAACTAGGAATCGAGTCTTGGTCTCCAAAATGGCAGTACGCATGGCTAGCCATTTGATTTTCGATGATTTTTTCCAGATATTGTACCAAATAAATTTTTGCAGTCGCCAACAAAAGTATTAGTTTTCGACAACTTCCAAAAAGAGAGAGACCTCAGGTGAAGATTTCATAACGCAGTTGAGAGAAAAACGAGTGCCAGCCACGCTCATTGCGATCGTCTGAAGTACTTGCCTTGAGGAAAGGATAATAAAACTTGAAGGGAGTGAGACGTATTTATGTACAAACATAGAGATTATATGAAATGTTTGATAATGAGAAGCTGGAGTAGCTGGGTAGCTAACCGACAAAAATAAAGCTTGGAGTTTTGTATAAATTGCTGGCTGAAGAGCGGAGTCCGCTGCTGGTTCCAAGATAACATCGATATTCAGAACATTTTGAGTATATAGAAGGTAGTATCGAAGAAAACATAGGAGATGACGAAACGGAAACCCCTATAATTAACGATTGTATTCCATCACCCGAA